TTTGCCATCGGGATTGGGTTTTCGTCGCTTGGCAACGACGTTGTAAAACAAGCACAAAACAAGTCACTTCACTTCGTGAGCTCGGCAACCAGGTCACCGTTTTTTTTTTTACCTCNGGGGGATGATCGCACCACGTTGTGTTAAAATGGTCAAGCACCCTCGACGCGGTTACACAGTGCTTATAACTGTCTCTGGAAGTGAAAGCACCAGAAAATAAATTAATTCATACGCAGCTGTCATCCGTACGCAAGGAAGTAAGCACAAGATGCCGAACACCCTTAGCAGGATGCAGCGCACCCTTCATGCGACTCGCCGAATATCTCACGGCGCTTCGCGCTTGGTGATGTGAGAGCCTGGTCCGGTGAGAACCCGGCGTGCTCCGTCCCGGCTTTGTAGGGATGCGAGGTCAATGGTCTAACGACTACGGCATGGACGACCATGAGTAGACCCCCCCACCCTCTCTCTCGCTCTCTCTTGCACACCTTGTACGTGATGTCGATGAATCCGTACGCCTTGGTCACGTCCGTCCAAACCGCCGCCGCTCCCGAGACCTCGCGAAAGCCGTCCGCGTGCTGCGTCGGGGGCCGCAGCTGCCGCAAAGTCATGATTGGTTTCGATGGGGAGCTGATGAGTTGCGATTTCTCTCTCGCACTCTCTTGAGTGCTTGTTGTAACGCTACCGTTCTCGAGAGCGTCTTGCCAGGAGCCAACACCCAGCAAGGGCGCGCCAGTATCGAGCGGTGACTTTTGTTTGGATACTACGCACAGCAAGAGGTCACGTACACTCTAAACTTTAAACGATGCGTGTGTTGTTTCGGAACTAACATACAACTGCCTGTGCTGAAGACCAACTTGCGACCTTGTTTCACCTACTAGCTGATACGAGGGATCGCTCCATATTCGTTCTGACACATGATACACCCCCACGTTTGAGTTACATGTAGAGGCTGTCTGCCAAGAGCTACAGCGGCAGACGATGACACCAAAACAACGCTGCAGAGGAGCACAAGTCCAAAGACGGCGTTGCCTGTTGAGTCTGTTTTTGCGCGACAACACAACCACAGACTTAGTGTCTCAGACTCTCAATCACGACGCAGCTGTCGGTGACCACCTGTGCAGCCGTCTCATGATGGTCGATGTACCAAACTGCTGTACAAGTTGTTGACGCACGTCGGCACATGAAGCGCACAACGGCGCATTGCTCACCGAGGACACTGGCCGCTTGGCTACCATCTCTCTCCTTCACCCTTCCTCCTGCTTCCCCTGTCTCCCTGGATCGATTACAGTGCAACTGCCACGCAGCTACCAGTAGGCTACAGGCTTGCAGGCTACTTGCACAGGTCCTACCGGCTGGCTCCCGCGTTCCCGCGACCCCCCATAAACCACGACATACCCTTTGGGCTCTGATTTGCGTGCCCCCCATTGCCTCTTTTCAACCCAACCCCTCAACCCCTCGCCTGGGTCAAGTGCACTCACTAGCAGTCAAAGTGGGGTGCCACTCTTACCTCCCAAGCAGAGATAACGGAAGCTGGAGATGGCGCAACAGGAAACAGCAGTTCCAATGGACCGCTACTCGCATCTTCGAGCTTCGATGGTAAGGGGACGTGTCCAAGAGTATGTGGTGTCAGGTGTCGTTTTGATATCCTCTCTCAACAATTCAAATTCCTCGTGGCCCTGCCTCGGCAAAACCCTCTCAGCCGGGGCAAACGCTTGATGAGAGAGAAGGCATAAAAACCCCTATGGTATGCTGCAAGGATGCTGAAGGATGACCACGGAGAGTCGAGTCCCGCTGGACAATTGCTTGACCCCCACCCTGGTGACCAATGCATGAAGTGAGGCGGGGTCAAGGTATACCTGTCTAGTTACTCCATTGCTAGCTGTTGTAGGCCGAGCCACTCATGCTGTCTGTGTGTTGCGCGGTAAGCAAGAGCCCGTTATTGCTTGCACTCCCCCGGCGACGTCCCCTGCCGGTCCGTTGGGCCAGTGCAACAACTGGCATTGCAGCTGGCACCCGTTCGCGTCTCTATCCTGGGCGTGATAATCCAGCGCTCGCGCCCAAGCGTAAATAAATAGCATGAAGTAGGACGACAGCGGTAGGAGAGCCTGCCGTGCATATGGTGCTGTAGTGCACGCCTCGGCTGCTCTTGTGTACTCATGTCACACGATCAACGCGTGGCATACCCGCCATCACAGCCGAGACCACGGCCACGGAAGTACGACTGCAGTAATACCGGAACGCAGAACGGAAATATTGAAAAATTCCCTTGGGAGCAGAGGAGTATTTCCCAGCCGCCCGTTGTTCAATCAAAATCCCGTGAGGTCGCCATCCGTCCCATCCCCTTTTCGCATTCCCCGCCGACGACCGACGGCCGTATCCCGTAAGACTCACCCACGCATTCCGTCCTTCAACCAACCAGGGCACGGAGCTGTTTGACCAGGTGCAAAAGGCGAAGCTTCTCGTGGTTGGAGCCGGAGGCATCGGTGAGCAAATCTACGAATAACGAATACTGGAAAACGTACCCTACCCCATGTTGCGGAAGACACCGCCCCCATCCCTCGACCGATGTTCAAAGTTCGATTACCGTACGTAGATGGCGGAGAGATGGTACCCCCCCAAGACCGACTGTCAAAGCTCGATTTCTCCACAACCGAGGAGGTGCGGGAAAAGCCGATTATTCTATAGAAAGCTCTAGACGAGATGTTTCCAGCACCACCTTTTTTGGCACACTGCTGTTTGTTGTGGATGAGTCGATAATTGAAAAACCTGCCTTACGGGGGCTGCGGTCTCTCCGCTTTTCGCGGTACTCAAGAGCAACGACAGTGACGGTAAAGAAATGTCGGGAGGCGTTGGAGTCTCCTTGATAGGCTTCCCGAACACTCATAATTCGTTTGTTGCGTCCGTTTCGTCGTGGAGCAATCGAGCCTTGAAAGTTTGCTCCAACGGTGCGTGTGGTATCTCGTACAACCTACAAGGGCGGTGGACGCGGGGGGCGGTAGCCCCCCGCGTCCCCAGTTGGAGAATCGATGCGCATCCCAAACGAACAGTATAAACCATTAACGTGATGAGGTAAGCTAGCAGATTTTTACAAATTTGAAACACGTACCAAGTGGGACGGGTGTTCGTTACAGCAAAAGAACGATAGACGCAGGTTCGACGTCGACAGAAGCGTGCGTCATCATGTTCTCATGCTCTCCGTACACACTTAGGCTACCGGCTTCTCTGCAAGAAAATGCCGATTGTTGGACAAAGGTTGAAGCTTGTGGCGCACACCCAGCTGTATGTGTATGCACCTCTCTGTCTGCATGTGTTTTTAAAGACTTCAAGGGTGTGTTGGGTAAGGTACATACTCGGGTACAATTTGGGTATTGTCGAGTATGTACCCGTGCCCAACGTTTGGGTACGTTGGGTATGACTCTCGTACTCGTACCCAAATTCTGGGTACGTTGGGTACGACCTCTCGTACCCGTACCCAACATACCCAAAGTATGGGTACCACACCCGTACCCATACCCAAAATACCCATACCCACGCATCATCTACCAGGGTTACCCGTGTACATAAGGTACGTACCCGTACCCAAAATTTGGGTACGTTGGGTACGACTCCCATACCCGTACCCAAACTCTGGGTACGTTGGGTACAGAACCCGTACCCGTTCCTATATTCTGGGTACGTTGGGTACAGTACCCGTACCCATACCCAACGTACCCGTACCCTACCCAACACACCCTTGAAATACTTCTTCCAATAAGAGGGTGTATGCACATTTTCGGTCGTAGGCGCGAGCTTGTTCGTCGATGAAGATCCTTCCAAGGAGATTTGGCTGTTCAGATAAGCAGTCAGAATCATGGGCAGCATAAACACTTGAAATTAGAACTGTGTACAGCGGTGTCTTCCCGAGCAACCGCGCACACCGTCGAAAGGGCAGCGTTTAACTACGTCTGTGCGCTTCCAGCGTGAAAACAGCATCAGGTAGTGACTGTAGCGTGATAATGTCTCGAAATCCGGTGGGAATAGGCACCTTGCTCGGGCTTTTGGGCGCTCGACCAAGCACTTGATTGGGGACGAGTGAGAGGGGGCAGCTGTCCACAACGTCTCCCGTATGTCAGAACTGAACAGAAAAAAAAAAATGCGAGTTCCACCGTCAAACAACAGTCTGATTCCAGGCCGGAAAAACGACTTGAAATTAGAGCGGTGTTGTCACCAGCAAATACCAACACCCTCGCCACGGGCAGCGAAGCGCTTTTTTCGCTCGTTTCCAGCGTGTAAACAGCAGCAAGTGACCGTAGCATCATGGTGTCTCGAAATCCGGGGGGAAGACGCACGTTTTTCGAGGTTGGAAGCGCGCCCGTTGAGTGGAATTCGAGAGCAATGCCGTTCGAGCAGCAGTCCGGAGCATTTAATCTGCTCTCCGCTATGCCGGTCTCATCACCAACCCCCCCGTGCTTCACGCTTTGGACCTCGAAAAACCTGCATCTTGCCCCCGGATTTCGAGACACGATGACGCTACGGTCAATGCCCTATTGTTTTCACGCTGAAAACGCGCGAAAAAAGCGCTTCTCCACCCGTGCCAAGGGTGTATGTGTTTGCTGGGTGACAACACCGCTCTAGTTTCATGTTGTTTTTCCGGCCTAGAATCAGACTGTTCAACTGACACCAACCCGTTGGTTATTTTTTTTTCATGATGTTGTTTGTCCAATGCTGTCTCTCCCCCCGATCCAGCGCTGTGGTGCAAGCTTATAACCGCAAGAACGTGCATCCTCTCCCGATTTCGATACACCACGATGCTGCGGTCACTTGCTACTGTTTACACGCCGGAAACGAGCGAATACAGCGCTTCACTGCCCGTGGCGAGGGTGTTGACATTTGCTGGGTGACAACACCGCTCTAATTTCAAGTCGTTTTTCCGGCCTGGAATCAGACTGTTTGACTCGCATGTTTTTTTTTTTCTGTTCAGTTCTGTCATACGGGAGACGTTGTGGACAGCTGCCCCCTCTCACTCGTCCCCAATCAAGTGCTTGGTCGAGCGCCCAAAAGCCCGAGCAAGGTGCCTATTCCCACCGGATTTCGAGACATTATCACGCTACAGTCACTACCTGATGCTGTTTTCACGCTGGAAGCGCACAGACGTAGTTAAACGCTGCCCTTTCGACGGTGTGCGCGGTTGCTCGGGAAGACACCGCTGTACACAGTTCTAGTTTCAAGTGTTTCTGCTGCCCATGATTCTGACTGCTTAACTGAACAGCCAAATCTCCTTGGAAGGATCTTCATCGACAAACAAGCTCGCGCCTACGACCGAAAATGTGCATACACCCTCTTATTGGAAGAAGTCTATTATTAGCATCGACCGCGCTAACCGTCTGACCAATGAAAAGACGTCAGTCTTGGTGCGGTGAATACACAAAACACTTGTTGTCTGCCATGAACTGGGACCCCGTGAGGGGGTAGCATGTCTGTGTGTGCAAGTGTGGGTTGTACCACATAGCTTATTAGCCGTAAGACTACAGCAACATACAGCAGATGTCTTTTTCCACACAAACACACACACCCCGTGTGTGTCCTCCCGACGAAAGCAGAGATATCCAGCACTCAGAACTGATGAGAGACATTAGCAAAATGCAGATGATACGTATGTGTTCGGAGCCGAGTTCCGAGGGCCAGTTGCCGTCTCCCGTCTCCTGATTGATTTTCGGAGGAAATAATAATTATCGGAATATCCTGCAAGTTGCCGTTCGTCTGAAATTTTTGGGAGAGATGAGATGGTTGCCCGCGCGGTCGCACGCACATATTGCAAGTTAGCAGTGTTGCACAGCCGTAGTCCCTAGCACACGATGAGCACATGATGAATGGTGCATGAAGCGTACCATTTCGTAGCAAGCAGACATGTGCGGGCTATGCATATGTGGTTGCTACATTAATTGTAGACATGTTCCGAGTTTTGTGATAAGTTAAAGTTCCCAAAATTTGCCCGAAGACAGCACCGTCTAGGACGATCGCTTGTTCTTCACAGTCCCGAGCGGAGGGGCAGGGCAAACCCTCAACGCCTAGCGTGAGCAGGGCGCGCGGCTTGGCCTTCGGGGCAGCTGCTTCGTCTTGCTTGCGCTTCAGGGGGGAGGCCTCGGACAGGGTGTTCATGACTTACGTGCTGTTCGGTGGCTGGGGCTGTATGTAGCGTACATACGCGAACTTGTTCCATGGTTTTGGAAATTCCTAAAATGGAAATTCTCAAATTCGTTCCGAGAACATTATATTAATGCTGACAGCACGACAGAAGAATTTCAAGAACACACGTCTCTCCTTCTTAAGGTCACAACACAGCTTGCCCCACGAACACGCAAT